GATAATTATAGGTTTTGATACGTGGGATGCATTTATCTTGGAAGTCATGAGTTTTATAGAAATTATATGTTTGTCCATATCCGGGTAAACATCTACTTTAAACTAATAGGGTTTTGTCGTATTAGGCTACTAGGTGTTATGTTATGGTTTTACCATGGCAAAGAATCTACCTCTGCTTTCTTCACCTTCATCTCACTTTACCACCATGTTTGCCACATATTAGGAGCAGTGTACCAAAAAGAGAAGGAAGAAGAAAAGATATATATATATATATATATATATATAGAGAGAGAGAGAGAGAGAGAGAGAGAGAGAGTGAGAGAGCACGACTAATTCTCGTCGAGCTCAACTTGAACCACGCACCCGACATTATGTGTATCGTAGATGAGATGGAAAATCATGGTTCCTATCGCAGTCGCACCCACCCGCCTTAGAAGTTGGAGTGGGATGATGATAGGAAAAAGTTGAACTAGCCCTGTCGAAAATACCCGTTACCCGAATTACCCGCCCGATTTTTTCGGGTATCGGGTAAATTTTTTCGGGTATTTGGGTAACTCGAACTTTTTTTCAGATTGGGCAAAAGGTAAGTGTTTTGGGTTTCAAGTATACCTGATTACCTGAAAATTTATTGACCAAATAACGATGTCCCAATATCTTTTATTCCTTTATGAGTTAATTATCCGTGTTCGTCCAAAACTCCAAATCCCAGCTCCCTCGTTCTATTTTCTCATAAAAAAAACCATCGTATCTCCGTTCATCACTAATCGAGATCAAGTCCAGCCGGTCATCCCCATGTCGTCGCTGGTCAGCTGGTGGTCAGCTCGTCGCCGCCTCTCCGATTGTGGTCGTCGCCTGTCGGCTCGTCACAGCCTCACAATCATCCTCGTCAGTCGTCACCTCCAGGCAAAAATCACATATTTGGACTTCAAAGTTTGAAGTTCAAACTTGGCTTGAATATAAGTGATAACCACCAATTGCTTTTATTTTACAGCTAAATTTCGTCCCTTTACTTGATAGTCTTCATACTTGTTGCAATTTGACCTGTTGGCTAATTCTTTGTTTTGCTTTTGTTTCTATTTGACTACACAAGAAGAGTATCTGATAGATTGAAGTTGGATTGCTTACTAATCCAAATTCCATTGTTTGATTATTCATGAATCAAAATCTGTTTGGAATTTGGATTTCAACCTTTTGGTTTTATTCTATTTGTTTTGCTTTTGTGAGAAGGTTGTTGGGTAGCCAGATATAACGTATTTTGAAGAAATATGGTGAAGAGGTTGCTTACGAATCCAAATGCTATTGCTTTTGTTTACCCCTTAAATATGGTCCTGTCATTAGTAACATAAACACAGGTTAATGGTCGAATGTAAATACAAATGTGATCTTAAGCCTCATGTGGCTTATTTTGAAGTTATTAAGCCTGATGTCATGTATTATTTTTTTTCCAAGTTATTAAACCTAAATGTAGATTTGCATTTACTGATAACATAATGTTTAATGATCATCAATATAGTAAAGATAAAAGAAGATAAAAGAACCTAGCACAACAATGATAGGTAAACAACTATTTGTAATCCACAAATGGGTGATCATTGTTAGTTTATTAGATGAAGCAATTGATCACTATTCTTTGATTTCAAAATTAAACACACAAAAAAAAACAACAATAAATCATTTGATTATCTGATAACGAAAGTTGCAATAAAGAACATTATAAAATATGAATGAAAGAACAATAAAAAATTATTTTTTTTTATTTTAAAAATCGGGTAATACCTGAAATATCCTTGCCTGACCCATTACCTAAATTACTCGAATTTAATTTGGGTTGGATAACATGTAATTTTTTTAATATAAAAAACTCGAATTACACAAAACCCGAAAATTTTACCTGATAACACCCCTAAATTGAACCACAAACAAACCATATATCATATATGTCCATATTGGAATCAATTATCCAATGTAGAATTTCCAAAATTGGTCTTGAACACTCGATTGTGGACTTTAGTAAAATAGGTCTAGAAACAGATTTGGATAAAGTAACGGATGCCGGATGGATTGGAAATGGAGTTTGAATTGGATAAAGTCAAAACGTCAAACAAGCCAAGCTCGAAGCCCACTTAAATCGGCCCATACGCATTTTATATGCAGCAGCAGAACATTTGAAAGAGAATTGACTATTATATATTCAGAAACTTATTGGAATCTGGAACTCCAAAACGATCATCTTCAACCTAGTTTCCCTCCAACTGCTCTCTCAGTGAAGGTACCTCTTTTATTTCTCTATAAATTGGTAGAAATGCATAGACGTTTTTGTATAACTATCCAATCTACCCATCCCCTTTTCGTTTTCACTGAAGCCATTCGGTAATCACGTTACGAAATTAAGTAAAAGTGCCAATATTTTCTTGAATTTTGTTTCCGAAACACATAATCTAAACCTTAGCAATTACATGAAACCACCGTTTGTCAATTCCATAGTCAATAGTCATTGTATTTATTATTGTCGTTTCAAGCACTACAGGAGTAGGGTTTGGGGCTTTTATTGGCTGTGTAAAAAAATGAATGTTTTGATTGTAGGATCGAGTTAATTTTTGGGCATAGAAGGGGGATTCCAACATTGGGCGCCAATAATTGAGTATTTGGTATTGAAAATTAAACAATTGCGAATCATACGTATGTAAAGTAAACCTTGTAATCACTTGAATTTGTAATTATTTCTATATATCTCATTGTTTTTTTCATCAATTGACTCTAGTATGACTGTTAGACATTGAGTAGCATAACTTATATACATCCGTTCTTACTTCTCAGTGAAAAGTTCATATCTTCACTCAGTTTTTTTGTCACAGGATCTTAATGGTTGAAGAATCACAAAGGATATTAAAGTAAATATGAGCACACTCTCAAATGCCTTTTCTCTGCTAGAACTGGATGTTGAGGATGATAGGGAAGAGACAACCAATGCTGCTGATAATAAAAAGAAAGCCAATGGTATATGTTTCAGCTGTTACCCTAAGAACCATCACCTTATAATTCATTAATAGTTTTGTTTGAATTTAATAAAATGCTAAAAATATTGTTACTTATTTGTACAAGTTATTGGGTACTGATGCAGGTAACCATGATAAAGAAACTGATACTCTTCAAGATGCAACCCTAGTTAAGAATGATAAAGGCACTCGTCAAACCCTAGACATGTTAGAAGGAGAATATAGGTTGCCTCTTGTGTGGATTGACTTGGAAATGACAGGTAGGTATCAGTTATTCAGTTTTGAGTTTTTTAATGTACATAATTGAAAAAAAGTGTCCTTTTTTGATTACCCAATATTCATTCAAGTAAGTTGATGTATGTGTAGGATTGAATATTGAAGTAGATAGAATACTGGAGATTGCTTGTGTGATCACAGATGGGAAGTTGACCAAATCTGTAGAGGTAAGTTGGGAGTTTCTGATTATTGATACAGGTGGCTTTTATCATGATAATCTTGTTACTAACTTTTTGTTATTTTCTTGCTTAGTTTGTATACTTTATTATTTTAACAGACAATATTATTAGTTTCCACAGGGACTGAAAATGATTTATTTTTATGTTCAGGGTCCTGACTTGGTTATACATCAAACAAAAGAGTGTCTTGAAAAGATGGGCGAATGGTGTCAAGATCATCATGCTGCAAGTGGTGAGTACCTTTTAGCTCATAATTAACCATCTAAAATGAAGGATATAATACATTGCAAAAGACGTGATTGCCCTTCTCATCCTTATCATCTAACATAGCCCTACAAAGCTCTTCATGTCTTGTGTAACAAACCCTAAACATGTCATGGTTGTTTATAGGTTTGACTGAAAGGGTGATCCAAAGTTCAATCAGTGAAAAAGAAGCTGAACAGCAGGTGATCTATTATCATAGAAAACAACTATATTTTACATAACAGAGGGAATCATGTAAATTATAACCATTTTTTGTGTTGTTTAATAAACACCTGATATGATGTGTAGGTTGTAGATTTTGTCAAGAAACATGTGGGCACATATACTCCTCTGCTTGCAGGAAATTCAATTTATGTTGATTTTCTTTTCTTGAAGGTAAAAGAAAAACCAAAACTTGAGTTCTATGGTCTAATTCATGAATTAATTGCTCCACTTTTGCGACATAAAATGAATAAAAAAAACAAAATTTTTGACTTTTGAAAGTTTTATTTTCTTTTTGCAGAAGTACATGCCTGATTTGGCTAGTCTTTTCTCTCATGTAGTAGTTGATGTCAGCAGCATTAAGGCTTTATGTCTACGTTGGTTCCCAAGAGGTGATATTTTTATCTGTTATTGAAATTTGTATGGGTTTAAGCTTTTTTTAAATATTGGAAGAACAACATTAATATCTGTAAAAAAATGTTATTGGTTCATAGATAACAAGAAAGCTCCAAAGAAGGAGAACAAGCATAGAGCCATGGATGACATAAAAGAAAGCATAGCAGAGCTGAAATACTACAAGGAAAATGTATTCAAATCATCAAAGTCTAAGAAGTAAACACTAGTCACATGTATGAAGCATTGTTGAATGTTGGGTTTTTAAGTTTGTTAAAATGATCACAATATTGATGAAGAGTGATCATAGATAGCTAGCAGTTGGTAGAAACACTATGTTCTATAACTGTGTTATCTTTAAATTTTAAATTGTCACTCCAAGTGTAACTTTATTTACAAAAATGGAGGCATGCTTGTGTTGGAGGTGAGCTTTTATATTATTTTTTTGTTCTTGAAGAGTGATTGATTATATTAGAGGTGCCAAGATGGTGAGCTCAGTTTATGGCTCAAATGAGTCAAAACGAGTTCAAGCTTGAGTAAAAGCATGCTAATAGTAGTTTGATTAATTAGCTCAACAGTAGACAGATTTGGGAGCCTGAAAACACTATAAGAAGTATGTTAAATAAGTCTTATTTGAGGTTGATATGAAACTAGTAATATGGTTTTCATTGTGTATATATAATAAACTATCCAAAAAAATAAAAAAATACCCATGAAATTTTTTTTTGAAATTGTTTTCAAGTTTCGAGTTCTTTTTTAACCTAAAAGAACTATTCTAGTCGACTTTTGAAATCACGATAATCAAATACCACCCATGTAGAAAACACGCATCCAAACCACAAACTCGATTTAAGATGATATATTTTAGCTTCGGTTTAATCTATAGATAAATGAAGTATCCATAACTTGTTTTAAATTTAACAGATCCAAAACAAAACAATGGTCGATTTGAATCATAATACTTCCTTCACCATTTAGTTGAAACATGATCATCAATCATGGCGAGGGTTGGGTAACCTTGAAAATCTCATAAACAGCTGAAAAATCAAGATCTCCTAAACCAGTGCTTCTAGCCTTCTTGAATGCCTGTATTTTATATTTCTTACATTAAATATCTCTCATAAGTAGGTTGGTATTATGAGTATGAGATATAATATTACCTCATTGGCGGCAGCTGCCACGGGCATTGATACTGCATTCTCATCACCAAGGGCAAGAGCCAACCTCATGTCCTTCTGTTGATGTTTCAATGGAAATGCAGGGTTGTAGCTGTTTTGGATCATTGAAGGTCCTTTCATTTTGAACATTGGATTGGCAATTGCACCAAGATCCTGCAAAAAAAAAAAAAAAAAAAAAAAAAAAAAGGTTGATTATGGTTGTTGAAAATCATGAAACCTGAAAGTTATGGTTCTTACCAATACATCTAGAAGAGTTTTAGGGCTAAGTCCACTTTTGTCAGCAAGAACAAGTCCCTCTGAGAAAGCATTCATCATACTGCACAAAACCAATCATCATTAGAACTACAGGGTGTTCCTTTTTCACTTAATGCATATTAAACAACTTAACAGAGAAAGTCAGGTCCTCATTAATACCTAACTTTCTCTAAATTTGGCCTCTCATTTATTACCTTCCCATGATCATATTAACTACAAGTTTCATCTTTGCTCCATTTCCAACCTCTCCCAAGAAAAACGACTTCTTCCCCAATACATCAAAAGCAGGAACAATTTTCTCATACAATCCCTACATATCCATTATCCACATCAACCAAAAAAATTAGCATCAAGCTTTTTATCAAACATCCTTCATCTCAATCTCTTTCTTTACACAACTTCATCGTCCATTTTGTGGGTCCAATCTTTATTCTAAATGGGACCCACATTACATTCACACCTTTACTTATTTTCAAATGATATAACACAAAATTTTACCTTTTCACCAGCAGCAAGGATAACCAATTGTCCATCTTCAGCAGGTTTTTTGCTTCCAGAGACCGGAGCTTCAAGAAAAGAACCACCTTTCGCTATTACTGCCTGCAAAATTCCCCCAAAAAAAAAACATTGCGTATTTTTAGCATTTTGCCACTGAACTACTATGTTTTATCGATTTCGCCACCATATAAAAATAATACTTCTGTGATTAAATCGATATCCACTTTCTTCAAAACCAGGTAGCTTTTTTAAACAGTCAAAAAAGTATAATGGTTTAATTTAATTACTACAGAATGTAGTTAAGTGGGTAGATCAATAAACTGGTGAAACTACTTGTGCTTTCTGAATTTTTAAAACTACACTATTAATTATTAAAGTGATGATTATAGAAAAAAAATTGCTACTTAAACCTCGCTGATTTTAGAAGAGGTTTCAGCATCAACTGTTGACATGTCAATGTAACCTTTTCCACTGCTGATTTCCTCAAGAATACCACCTTTATCAAACACCACCTAAAAAGAAATTTTTTACATCATTTATACTTTTTCAGAAAATGAGACCCATAATCACATTTTGAATGTATATGAAAACACAGATTGATGAAAGTTTCTACTAACAGAAAGAGCTGCAGGAGGATCAGATAGCATTCCAATTGTGTACTTGCACTTCTTTACAACTGCTGCAGGACTTTCCCCTACCGAAGCACCATGCTCTTTTAGCTCATCACACTGCACAAAAACAAGGAAATATTTTGAAATTTGAAGAATTGACTCAAAATCCACTTTTGATTGTAGAAAAATATTAATCTTCAAAAATAGCATCAAGTGACTCCAGTTCTGATTCTTGAAGTTGCAATAAACACGCATCAAAACAGGCCATGGAAATTCAAGCTCAAGAAGAATCATTTCGATTATAAAGAAAGCCAGTATAAAAGCACAGATCTTAAAATATGTCATCGGATAAAAAAATCAATCTTATATTAAGGTATCACCATGGATTACATCTTGCGCCTAAAAGATTGGAAACAACTACACACATCAAAACAGATGGATATTAACTATCAGATTAGAGTATTCAAATCAAAATCAATGATGGATTCTACCGGATGAATAGGATATAAAACTAGACTCGGATCCACCGAAAATCTATCTCAAATTGCCAAAACCCCAACACAAAACACCACATGTATATACATACATATATATGTCTATATATAGAAAAAAGGTACCTTAGAAAGCGTGCGATTCCAAACAGTGACCTTAAATCCATTGCGAAGCAAGTTCATGGCCATAGCTTTCCCCATTATTCCCATCCCCAAAAACCCAATTTCCTCCATTATTGTCTTGATTTTTCTGGGTATACTGAACTTCAAACCCCTTCAGGCCTTCACCGATGCTTACTGATTTCCTCTTCTATATATAAAAAACGAACAAATGGAAAGCAATTTACTTACTTTACTGACTCACGGAGCAATTCTAATTGCATTAAAACAAAAAAATTATTGTTATTGTCGATTGCGTTGCTCAATGCTCATCTTCCACTCATTTTTTATATCAGTTTTTTGAAAACTTTCTTGCTGATTATTGGTCCACTTCAGTCTATATCTGCGGTTCGGTTTTCCCCGAATTCGGGAGTTGTTGGATAATAATCATAATATGATATCTTGATATTCGGATATGTACTGGGCCTAATCTTCGAAATAAAGCCCAAAACTCTAAAGAAAGAAGATGTTTGAAATTGGTTTAAGAGTTTAGTATATCTTCAAATAAAATACTAATTTTGTTTACTATTCTTCAAGGTTGAATAAAAAAAAATATGTAGTAGATTTTGATTGTGTATTATCTCTATTAGTCAAACATGCAAAAAGAAAAAGATTAGAGAAAAACAATCATGTCAAATTTTGGTCATGGTATACAATATGAGGATATTCACAAAAAATAACAATCAGGAGTGATATAATATTCCGACACTTTCACAACTTTCACAAATGACCACGAGGTTTGAAATGCTGTGTTTGAGACTATCCGTTGTCAGAAACATATTAAGACTTGACATAAAGTAATCTAGATATGATCTTTCTGAATAAAGATACATTATGGAGGTTTTTTTGTATATCTCAGATAATCCTTGAATTAAAAAACGGAATCATTATACTTTTTTTATGTGTAAATGTCATAAAGTTTAACAAAAGGACAATGCATACATAACGTTTTATTGTGTACAAAGGGAAAAACATGTATTCTAATGTCCGGGATGATGAACACATTTAGAATACATAGTCCACAGTTCCAAATATGGTTTTTTTCAGCTTAAAAAGTTATCATTTTGTAGGCATTTACAAAAAAGTATGTAGATTTTGATAAAACTCTATAAAATTTGTCATTTTCTTGAAAGAAAAACGATGTTATATTTTCAACGGGAGAGATGAGAGATGTTTTTTTACAAATAAGTGAATAACTTTGATACAAATAAAATATTTGGACTTATAATATACCTGGTTAATCCAAACCCTATTCCGAAATAAAAATTCATTGATAATAAAAACCTAAAATTTTGATCATTTCCAAAAACATATAAGTAACATATGATAGTTTTTGTCTATATCACGTATTATTTAACCAAAACAATGATAAAAGGTATTTTGGGTCTACCCGATCCATTTCGATGGTACAAATTTTAGCGATGTCAATATTTGACCAAAGAGCCTAACCCCTTGTTTAGCCATATCTAAGGACTAAGGCTACTGGCTATACCAGGGTTGGCGCATGTGAACTTTTCTTGCATACGTGATGTCTCGTATTTTAATAATTAATTCTACGCTATTTAAAGTATCATTAAATATATTTGAAATAAGATAAGTTAACGGAAATTTGTGTGGCCCTGGAATAATAGAACATGGCAATCTAACATGTAATGTAGTAATTTTAATATTTCCTAAATTAATTATAATGTTATTTAAAAAATCCGTAACAACGAAACAGCGTTGTAAAGTGACAAATTTTGTTTATTTATTAATGTTGTTCGACTTGTAAATGTGCATTGCATGTAGCATCTCCATATGTCCTCTTAAATTATGGACATACAGAACAAAAGTATATATATTATTCGATGTTTTATAGCTTATTATTTTAGTAATACAATAATAATTATATTCATATATACATATTTTCTTATTAGTTGTTTTTTATTGCAATAAATACATGTGGCATAATGCTTAATGGATGGTCGGTCCTATAATTCTATTAGGACGGATGATATCTATTTCTTCACATCTTCCAACCTATCTGTCAAATCATTGTTACATCATTTTTTTTGTCTTTTTTTCCTTTTCTTTCTTACACCACTCTCATTTAACAACGCTTGCAAACTCATAATTCCTTTGGTTCCCAACCCATTTAATTTTTAATTTTAATAGATTAATTAAAATCATAAAAAAAAAAAAAACAAATCCACAAAATATTTAAAAACATACAAAACTAACTAAAAACAAACACATTTTGACACAACTTTTTAGATATGAAAATACAACTAATCAAAACATATTGAGAGTATACAGAGAGAAAGGGGCGAGTTACATAACCCGTCGATACTTATGAGAGATACTGCTATGATGAGAATGATGCTTATAGAGATACCGGAGGCACCTCTCCCATTTTTCTTCAACCCACCAATGATACTATCCACTGTAAACTGAGTTGGATGATCATCACGTTTAGTTCGTATACAAAGTTGGAAATTAGGGTAGAAACAGAGTATGATAATCACTGGATTCTTCAAGGATCGTGGCGGTTCACTTCCCGAATCAATATTTCCTCCGTATGCATGAGTTACAAGAAATTCAACCTACGATAATCCTTAAATGAACAATCGAAGTTCTAGGCACAAAGATCAATTAAGAACTAGAGAGATTGTGGTGTGTGAATTTCATATGTCTAAAAATCGAGAGAGAATCAAATATCAAAACTCGAAAAAAATATTTTTGGATAAGGCGGTTAAGGGTTGATAAAAAATATCATAAAATTATTCATTATTTCTTTGTTCACATTTAATCACTAAACTTTCTTTTTATTTTTTATTTGTCCATAAGTTATTTAAAATTGTTCACATTTTACCTTCATGACCGGTTACTAATGGATAAAATGTGAATATTTTCAAATAGTTCAAAGGCAAATAAAGAAAGAAAAAAATTAGTAACTAAATGTGAACAAAATTAAAAATTCATTTCCTTCTAAAAAAAGTTCAATGAATAAATATCAACAAACTTCTTGCATTATGTTTTAGCAAATTATGTATTTTTTTGTTAAATTTTAGCAATATTTGTTGATGAAGAAATCTATGAAATAAAAAAAACAAAACCTAAAAAAAGTAAAAAAAAAAATGAAAAACCGAATAATTTTTATGTTTTAAAATTATGCAATATTATATATATACAAATCATCCCAATATTATATGAATAAATTTTATGTTATAAAATTAGACAATATATAATTCACATACATTAAATCATATACGTTGTTTATAAAAGAATACATACATTGATATATTATATATGTTGTTATAAAAGGACGGATGTGTTGACATACATCATATAGAGTTGATTAATATTTGAGATTGTATTTTTTTAGAAAGTTTGAATAATTATTGAAATTTATGATTATTTAAATAGATATATAGAATTGATTAAAATCATTAAGATGTTTTATGAAGCGTTGAGCTCCAAACACCTCATCTCCATCACCTTTAGAAAAACATTTTTTTTAAAAGACAACTATATTTTCAACAAATTATGTAAAAGAGCCGTTATTTATTATTTTTCTTTTAAAAAATCTCACTCATAATTTTAAAAGGTTTTAGAAAAAACCATTCATATTTAAATAGCTATTTAAAAAATATATATTGTTTTTAATTTTTTTCTTCTTAATACAATGTAACTTATGAGGCCGGCAAAATAATTTTTTAACAACTATGGTTGAAAATTGTTCGTTTTTTTTTTGTTAAACCAAAATCAGATAAAATATTTCGATTTTTAATTTGGAACATAATAAACCATTGTTTTTTTTTTCAATTTGGTATTTCATTTTTTTTCACGGTTTTGCTTTTTTTTTTCTAATAGATTTCTTTATCAACAAATGTTGTTAAAATTAACAAAAATAATTAATTTGCTAAAACATAACACAAGATGAAGTTTGTTCATATTTAATTATTGAACTTTTTTGAGAGGGTAATTAACTTTCGTTTTTATTCACGTTTAGTTATTTATTTTATTTTTTTGTATTTGATTTACTTTTGAATTATTTGAAAATGTTCATATTTTATCCTTATAACCCGGTTGTCATAAAGATAAAATGTGAACTATTTCAAACAGTTTAATGACAAATAAAGAATGAAATATGTTTAGTACTAAAATGTGAACTGTTTCAAATAGTTCAGTTATCATAAGGATAAAATATGAATATTTTTAAATAATTCAGTGGTAAATAAAGAATAAAAATAAGTTTAGTAACTAAATGTTAATAAAATTAAAAGTTCATTACCTTTTCAATTTAATCCTATAACTTTAATAAAACTTTCAAAAAAAAAAAAAAAAAAAAAAAAAAAAAAAAAAAAAAAAAAAAACTTTGAGTCATTCGACTTCATATTGTAAATGGGTGCACCACATCTCGTGTTTCGAAATTTATGTTTAACAATATCTTTTAACAAAACAATACAGGCACAAGAGCACAATAATTGTGATAGCTAATAATGGCTTTAATAGTGAAAATGGTTAAATACTATACCAACGAAAATTTGAATTTTTTTAAACGACAAATATATTAAAAAAGAACTACCACCAAGTAAGTACCTAGCGGAGGATTAGTAACAAAAACATAAACAAAGTACAAAAAGTAACAAGAACATATACAAATTTAACACATATGGAATGGGGATGATACTCAATCACTCCATTTATAGATTTCACCTCTAACCCTACTTTTGATCCATAGGTACACCGATGATTTAATGAAGTCCACACCTTTGGAAGGGCTAGTGAATATCGATTTGAAATGCCTATCATTTCGATATCTCCATAGTTTCCATATCATTCGATAACCGATAGCAATGAACCGATTATTCTTTTTTGGGCTGTTCCCCCATGTGTTAATAAAACTAATTGTATCGTCAAGATTGTTAAATGAGTTGTGACTTATACCACACCATGTGAATATTTCTCTTTTTATCTCGTCTGCGAATGGGCATTGCACCGGAATGTGATCAACACAATCGAAACCAGAGATGCAAGATCCACAACCTCATGATTCGATTAACATGGTCCTCTCTTGTAATCTCTTTACTGTCATCATTCTCTTCTATACCACTCTCCAGATAAAACTAAGACCATAACACGGGTTTATTTTCCGTTAAGTAATTGATTCGTTATAAAAGGATTTAACTGAATTAAAAATTCCATCCAAGTAATGAATTCGTCATTTATGGGAAGAGATAATTAAATTATATTCATGTTCTTCTAGATTACAATATTTTAATAATTTTTTATTGTATAAAAAATCAACAGACTTAAATGCCTCATAGTAGTTATGATAGTGTGAGGGACAATTGCAAGTGGTTACGAAGGGTTGCTCTCGGACCATGTCAATAGGTGTTTGTTGTGTATGAAAGAAGGATTCATAATTTTGACTTATATTATTTATTTATTTGGTCGTTTTTAAACCAGCTCCGCAACATTTCGTATGAGCATATAATACCCACATTTGTGTCTGAAAAATGTATATTTTTGTTATGATATGTGCATGCTATCTAATTTTACATGTTTTTTATTTCTTAACTAATATCATTTCTATTAGTTTATGCTGAGTTGGATGTTATGTATTCGTAACTGATTTATTTAACCAGTAAACGGTTTGTGAAACTCATCTTCTTGCAAGTATATGAACAAGTCTGTGGTCATGCTTGCTGGGTCAAATCTAAAACAACAGGCCTATCATTATAAAATATATAAACAAGTTTATTTTATGAAAGAGCCCAATCCCTTCACCAATATATATATATATATATATATTATATATATATATATATATATATATATATATATATATATATATATAGAGTCGGCTCTACATGTATACAAAGTAAGCAAGGGTTTAGGGCCCCATTTTTAAGGGGCCCCTTAACCCAAAAGTCCATCAATTAAAATTTGTTGCTGATTTCGGATTCTTCCATCCCACGCACGATTGAAACTGATTGTTCTTCTCGTCTTCTCCATTCTTTTTTTTCCTGGCGGCTCTCTGAACTCTGAACTCTTAACTGTGATCATTTGGATCGTTAAAAAAATCAAAAAACCGATTCTTGATTCTTGATTGTTCAAAAGATCGATTCCCATCACTTCATCAATGAGTCTAAAGTCACAAGTCTGAACATCGAATCAAAATCAAACAACATTCTTCATCCTTTCCGATTCTTTGATTCTCTATCAATTTAAAAATCAAACTCCATTGATGATTGTTCTTTTTTGATTAAACTATCTATTAGGGTTAATACTTAATAGGGCTTTTTTTTTTTTTTTTTTTTTTAATCTTCACTGTGTGAAGTTTGATTTTGGAATCAGGTTTGGATTATGGATATTGGAATCAAACAATCATGTTGGAGTTTGGCTATTGGAAGGAACGATTTTGGTTGGAACGAATTTCAGTTTTACAATTCTATATTTCCATTTCAGTTTTCTCAAGGAGTGAAGCCATCAAGGTCAAGGTTGTTGTTAAAAACTCACTTTGTCAAGCAGATAAAATAGGTATTTTCAAACTATAAATCTATAATCCATTACTATTTACTTTCACTTTACTTTTTATTGTCTTGGTAATAATTATTGTTAATTAAATTATCAATAATCACAAAAAGGGTTAGCTATTTTGTCAATTGAAAAAGATTTAGTAAATGAAATTGATTATGAAATTTTCATTAGAGAATTTGAATCTAAAAAGAGTATTTTGGCAAAGGGCCCCATATTTCTGGTCCGCTTAGAGCCTCCAACCTCGTTGAGCCGTCCCTGTCTATATATATCTATATATATATATATATATATATATATATATAGAGAGAGAGAGAGAGAGAGAGAGAGAGATGACAAAAATAGCCAAAAAATATCAAAATTACAAAAATAACCAACGATTTCGCAGATGAAAATGCCCCATCTGCGAAATCAGCATGTTATCTGCTAAAGTACAAGCAGCTAAAGCACAGCTGTGCTTTAGCTGCTTGTACTTTCGCAGATGTTTTTTTAATTTTTTTAATTTTTTTTGTGTATATATAGGGGTAATTTCGCAGATGGAGAAGGTCCATCTGCGAAATACTCTCACTCCTATCTGCGAAATACTGATTTTTTTTGTATTTTTTTTTTAGTTTGACTACGAAATCATGTTGCTATATAAAAAGTTTTGTAGAAAAATATCACGTTGCTACATGATTTCGTAGTCAAACCAATTCATTTCATGGTCAAACTAAAAAAAAAATACAAAAAAAAAAATCAGTATTTCGCAGATAGGAGTGAGAGTATTTCGCATATGGACCTTCTCCATCTGCGAAATTACCCCTATATATACGCAAAAAAATAAAAAAAACAAAAAAAAACACCTGCGAATGTACAAGCACCTAAAGCACAGCTGTGCTTTAGCTGCTTGTACTTTTGCAGATGGCATGCTGGTTTCGCAGATTGGGCATTTCCATCTGCGAAATCGTTGGCTATTTTTGTAATTTCGATATTTTTTGGCTATTTTTGTAATGTCATTAGTGTAAATGACTATTTTTGTCATTTTCTCATATATATATATATATATATATATATATATATATATATATAATTGCCAAAAAATACCAAGAGGGTCTCTTCCAATAATGACAAACGAGTAGGGTCCTTTGCGAACTCGCATTCCGTACTGTGAATTCTTCCTTAGATGTTTCAGTTTGCAGACTGTATTATAAGTTTTATATATTGTACTGCAGACTAATGTGTTCATACGACAAATTCGTAGGTCGCAGACACAAACTTAGGGGTCATAGTGTGAATTCATTTGTAGTCGTAATATCTCTTTATGCGGTCATAAAATGGTAAAATACATGATAAAAAATTGTTTGACAGAAAGTTAGATTTCAACAATAGGATTTTTTTTTTTTTTTGTTATAGTTTGTATGGGATCATGACAAACAATAGACAAAGAAAATATATATGTTACACCATTTGTTACAAAAGTTAGTGTATATATTCCAACATATATCAAGTATCGGGGTTGATAGAACTTGACAAAACAGAGGTAAGTAATGTTAAGTTATCTTTCTAGTATATCGAGTGTGTGTAAATTATGGATATAACTATGATAATGATGTGAGACATTCGAAAAGTATAATTTATAATAGTAAAAATGTTATGCAATTGTATTTGGTTTTAGTTATTGATAATCAAGAACTGTGACGACTAAGTTAAATCTTGGACAAAAAATTATAATGTCTGTGTTTCTCGTTTGACATAATTATAAAATCTATATTTACGTTGATCAACAATTATAATCTTTTATAAATAAATGAAAGAAAATTATTTGAATATATGTGTTTAGACTAAACTGCACAAATGGTCCCTGTGGTTTACACAAAATTGCCACTTTGGTCCAAAAACGTTTTGGCTAGCACCACAAGTCCAAAGTTTCCATTTTCTTGCATATTTGGTCCAATGGGTTAACTTCCGTTTGTTTCCCTCTGTTAAGTTATGTTTGACTAGTCAAATCAGGGGTATTTTGGTCATTCCCTATTTATGCCCTTTATTTTATATTAATAAAGGAGAGTAATAAGAACGAATCCCAATCCATCTTCTTTGTCGTCGTTCTCATTTTGGTCTTCTGCAACTCTCCGATCGATTTCTTCAAGAAATCAAAATCAAAAATGGTGCTTTGTTTTTGTGGTAAAATGGCCATAGTTCGCACAGCATGGACTGATAAAAATCCAGGTAGACGCTTCTGGGGATGCCCTACTGAGGTACGCATTTTTTTTTTTTTTTGGATTTCAGTATAAATCTCCCATTAGATGTTACGATCTTCTTTTGATTCTTAAATTTTGAAGGGATCCAAATGTCGATTTATTGGGTGGTTTGATGGTCCAATTTGTGAACGTTCAAAAGCTATTATACCTGGGCTGCTGAGGTCAATCAACAAAGTGAAGTCACAAAACACAAGACTCAAGTGTTACCTGTTATGCAGTTGGGTGTTGTTCGTGTTTGTTCTGGTTTATAAGAAGTAGATTGAAGTGTAATGGTTTGGGTGGTTTGTAAGTGTAATGGTTTGGCTGGTTTCTAAGCAGTATATTGAAATGTAATGGTTTGGGTAGTGTTTTAAGGTTTTTGGTAGTATCTTGTTTAAGCAATGTAATCTTTTGGGCAATACTTTGTGGTAGTCTTTTTTGGTTATAATGTAAGCAATGTAAGACATGTTTTGCAGCAATTTGTCAATGGTGATTATATTTGGTATGTACATTTTGACCAATTTATTTTGTTTGTGGTGTTGTTTAAAAGGGCATTAGTCAATTTATATTGGGCAATTTTGTGTAAACCACAGGACCATGTGTGCAGTTTTGTCTTGTGGTTTTGTTTAAAAGGGTATATTGGTCTATTTATTTTGTATATGGTTTACACATTATCAATAACAAATGTATGTTTTGATTAAAAGGGCATATTGGTCTATTTATTTTGTATGTGGTTTACACATTATCAATGAAAATTGTATGTTTTGTTTAAAAGGGCATATTGGTCAATTTATATTGGGCAAATTTGTGTAAACCACAGGACCATGTGTGCAGTTTTGTCTTGTGGTTTTTTTTAAAAGGGCATATTGGTCTATTTATTTTGTATATGGACAAATGTATGTTTTGATTAAAAGGGCATATTGGTCAATTTATATTGGGCAATTTTGTGTAAACCATAAGACCATGTGTGCAGTTTTGTCTTGTGGTTTTGTTTAAAAGGGCATATTGGTCTATTTATTTTGTATATGGACAAATGTATGTTTTGATTAAAAGGGCATATTGATCAATTTATTTTGTATGTAGTTTACACATTATCAATGACAAATGTATGTTTTGTTTAAAAGGGTATACTGGTCAACTTCTACAACAAAAAATTATACATTACAATAACATCAAGACATCATTACATTAAATCCAGTGTAAATTGTTCCCATACATCACAGGGGTACACTATCAAGTACCAAAAGTAACATCCAAAATGGTTAAACCCCAAAACACAGAAAGTACTAAACATACAATACACATAAACATAACATTATCCCAAAAAGACACTTATACCCCTACAAACATCAAAATCCCTTGAAATCCAATCACTTACCCCCTTGGCCTTTGCAAGTTCTAGCATTGTGCCCTTTAATTTTACACTTGCTGCAGGTTACTTGGATAAACTTTCTTGTAAGCTTTCCACTCCTACTAGCAATATTGCTTTGACTCCCACTACCACTAGCAACATTGTCTCCCTTCTTCTGGCTTTTCTCCTCAGCAGAGTGCCTCCTCTTTTTCTTTGGCCTTCCAGGCTGATTTTTGTGTATAGGAGGGGTGATTTTAATTGGGCATTCACTTATAGGCCACATTGCTCGACCTTTAATAGGCTCTACTTTGTACACATAAGCTGCTTTCCATGTTTCTAGCCAGTGCACCCTGTGGGCATAAGTGTGCAGTTCTCCAACTTCCTCACCATTATCTGCTTTGTCATTTAGGACTGCAATGACATGCTTACAAGGGAGTCCTGTTAATTCCCACTTCCTACAACTGCATACTCTTTCAACCATATCAACAACATGTTGATCCTGCCATGGCCCTTGCACTTGGTATTTATCTGACCCATTCCACCTAACTGTGTACTGAGATGCCCAATTCACATTCTTCTCCATGATCTTTGTTGCAGATGGGGTTAGTGGACCAACACACTTCTTTTGAACCTTTATGACATTGCATATTCTTTTCATCATATACTCCCTAATGTACTCCAAGCAGGATATCAGTGGCTTGTCCCTTCCCTCAATCAATTTGCTATTAAAAACTTCACAAAGATTATTTAGAAGCATATCTGAAACTGCTCTGCCTAAAAACACCACAATATTGTCAGGATCAAACATATACCAACACAAAAGGGTAAATTTGGAAGTTGAAGTATATACCTGTGAAGTGGCTTCTTGCCCAATGTTGTGGGGGAATCTGCTTCAACCAATTATAAGCTTCTACATCATATGAGCTGAATTGATGCATCCTATGATTAAACTCTGGTACTGTTGTTGCTGTAGCACAATTCCACAAGTGTTCTTTGTACTCATTAGTTCTCCATGTTTTTCTCATATTGTCATGTATATGCCTAAGGCAAAACCTGTGCTCAGCACATGGGAACAACTGAGAAATGGCAGTCTGCAATCCCTGTAAAGGAATTAAAACATAGTTAATATAGCACATCCAAATATGTCAAATATAAACAACAAATTACAAACCTTTTGTCTGTCACTTATAAATGTGAAGTTTGAGTTTGCATGTAGGTCCAGATCATCTGCAATACACTCTAGAAACCACTTCCAACTGTCAGTGTTCTCAGTCTCAACAATGGCATAAGCTAGGGGGTATATTCCATTGTTGGAGTCTACCCCAACTGCAGTTAAAATTTGTCCTGGGAAAGGGCCCTTCATAAATGCCCCATCAAAACCTAGAAAATCCCTCAGGCAAGCTCTAAAGCCCTTTTTCATTCCACCCAAACACACGTACATCCTTTTAAACCTTCTTGAGGTAGCACTTAGGTTGGGTTCTGAATCAAACTCTAACTTCACAGTGGTTTCTGGATTAGTAGACTGCAACTCCAGGATGTAATCTCTAAGAACATCATATTGCTTTTTGTAATCACCCTGGACAAGTTTTTTTGCAGTTGATTTGGCCCTGAATACCTTGTGAATAGAGAATCCAACTTGATAATCCTTTTGAAGTTGTTCTTGAAGAGCTCTGACTGGGATTGTTGGGTTGGATTCAATCTGGTCCATTATCTGCTTAGAGATAAACTTTGCTGTTGCAGATCTAACTTTTCTTGTCTGGAGGCATTTATGTTCGTGGTTGTAAGTTTTTATGAACCAATTACTATTTACATCTGACCTAGAACCTTGTATCACCCAAGGACAAGGGGTAGGTTCACTGACATGACCATCATTAAAGGCCACAGTTCCTTTACAGATTGCCCTTAACCTCATTTTGTCGTTTTTCACAAAGAATATATTCCTTCTTGTTTCCAGTGCATGCAATTGTATCTTTTCCTTTAACTCCTTCTTATTTTTATATTTTTGTCCTATCCTAAAAGTTACCTTGTGTATCTCACCTTGAGAGCACCTAGTCTCCTTCCCCAATTCCTTTATTACAGCTCTTCTTTTCCTATCTATATCAGAACCCTCATCCAATGAATCCCATTGATCATTATCTATAACACCCAACTCTTCATTGACCTCATCACTGTCATTCTCTCTATGCTTTGGTAATCTTTTTTCAAGAAATTCTGCTTCAAGATCTATATTCATGTAAAAATCCCTCATGTCTACTTCTACATCAGGGATGATGTTGTCTTCATCCACCCAGAAATCACTATCATCACTGTCCTCACTCTCATCACTTCTTTCAGTATTGTCTTCATCAATCTCTATGTTATCTTCACTTCCATCATCAACTGCAAAATCTCTCATCTCTACATTCTCATCATTCATTTCATTTCTGTCATGATTCTCTTCTTCAGTGACTTCCTTATTAACTGTATTTTCCTCACCTTCATGAACCTCATCATCTACATTCTGTTCATTAGACTGTAAAATCTGTTGGTACAATCCAATATCAAAGTCATTAGCTGCCTCATCAAATTCATTAAATCCCTGGTTAATATCATTACATGCCTCATGAAATTCATTAAAATCCCGGTTAATATCATTACATTCCTCATCAAATTCATTAAATCCGTGGTCAATTTCATTATCTGCATCATCCTTATTCCCACCAATCCTATCAACACTAACATCATCCATCACCAATTTCTTAATACATGATGATAATGGTTTGTCCTTGATAAATTCCCTTTTTTTATTATATTCAGGGGATATTGACAAGGCTAAAGCAGCTTCATTTGCTATCACAGGTGGTATGCATGTTTGTGGCATGCCACTGGGTTGGTTATTAGTTGGTGGGGTTTGATGTTCATCGATCTCCTCTAATTGCTCAATAATAACTTTTCTTACAGGTTTAGGAGCCATAAAGTAAGTAAGCAAGTTAGTAATACCATGCTCGGTGTAAACCCTTATCAGTTTATGCTCCTTCACATACTGGGAAAGATTGAGGACATCATCATCATTTCCCAGGGCCCGTAGCCCAAAATGCATGTCTCCCTTTGGCACTCGAAAATGATAGTAGATAACCGGAGGAACTGAGTATCCTAACCCTTTCATAATCGCATCCATCTCGTGAATAGAAAACTCTTCTATATCCACCATATCTACATACGTCACAGTACCCTCAATGTAGTTGACATTTGGAAACTTTGTGAACTCACCTCCATGATGTAGCTTGATGGTAAACAATGTAGGGTGTCCATCTTCAACACAAGAGCAAAAAAAAAAAGTTCAGAAGGTATGATTTCTTGTAAGAAAATCAACAAAATGATCAAAAACAAAATTACGTACCATAAACCACCCTTGGGTCGAATGACGTGCTTGACAACCTTAAGTGCCACATTGGTATATGCATTCACTACGAAACTCGCCTGATTGAAGCTATCAACCTTGTTAATCAGTTTAGGGTTCTTGATCCTCAGTCAATGAGGAGGGAAATTGTATCGACTCACGGTTTTTAAGGACTATAAATGTGAATTAGGCTCGATATTATCCGTATGGCAATGCATACATACGAACTCTCCTTTATTAATATAAAATAAAGGGCATAAATAGGGAATGACCAAAATACCCCTGATTTGACTAGTCAAACATAACTTAACAGAGGGAAACAAACGGAAGTTAACCCATTGGACCAAATATGCAAGAAAATGGAAACTTTGGACTTGTGGTGCTAGCCAAAACGTTTTTGGACCAAAGTGGCAATTTTGTGTAAACCACAGGGACCATTTGTGCAGTTTAGTCATGTGTTTATATATTATGTACTGGAAATTGGATAAGTATTATGTGTATATAATATTTATGTAAAACTGTATTGACTAAAATGCAAATTTGGTCCCTATGGTTTACAAAAAATTGTGGTTGGAGTCCAAAAACTTTCTAACTTGTATCATTGGTCCAAAATCAAAAACTTTTTGTGGTTTTAGTCCCTGAAAAATTAAAAATACTATTTTGCCCTTATAATTTTTTTTAATATTTTTTCATATTTGTTTTAATACCTTTTAAATTTAAAGATAATAAACAGAAAAAAGAATAAGCCCTCATCACCCCTTCCACCGTACCATCCTCCCCCCTCCCCCTCTCTCTCTCATCCCAAAAGACACTATCCTCCCCCCCCTCTCTCTCTCTCTCTCTCATCCTAAAAGACACTACCCAGTCCATCCCAATTTAACCACTACCACCACCACATTCCTCCATCTCCACCGCCTTCACCTTCATCTTCTCCGACCACCCACCCTCACCTCTGTCTCTCTCACATACATATCAATTGGTTAAAAACCATCCATGGAGCAAACCCACTGCAATACCAGTTGCAATACTCACCACAAAACACCACTTAATAAGTCATCGATTGTTCAACTGATTTGTAGACTTTATCCATCGACAAATAACTAGCTAGATCCCAGCCTCAAGCTTGCTGGAAAATAACTGTGATTTGATTGTCGATGTTTACAAAACCCTAACTTGTTGGAGGTGATGATTTCCTGCCATACACCTTCCATTGTTGTTGTATTTCAAGGCTGATTTGTATACGTACACCTTCAAATCCTTTAACAAAATTTCAAATCAAATTTTTTTAATCAAATCGAATCAAATCAACCCTACAAAAACATGTTAATCAGATTATCATATTTAAACCTTTGATTAAATTATGGGTTATTGGGGAGCTAATAAGCAAAAAGTACCAGAAACATCGTTAGATTGAAAGTGATAGATTACCGTTTTCTTCAGCAAATTCATATTGGGTTCATAATTGTTGAGAAACTGAGCGAAGAAGTAAAACGAGATAGAAAACCAAAGAAACCATTTGAAGTATGTAATGCAAAATGGTTTTTCTCGTTCGAAATAATTTCATCTTCACACATAATCACAACCTGTTCTTGGTGGGTCTATGAAGATCCACCATTGTTGAACATCAATAAGATATTTAATAAGCATGAAAAACTTAGTTTAGATATGTGTTTGTTCTCCAATTTGGGTTAGGAATAAGGAGATGAAAAATCGAGTGCAGGTAAAGGAAGAGATTCTTTGCAATATCCGTTTTCTTAAACTTGAAGTTGTAGCAAAATAATGAACCAGGATGAGAGGATGAAGAGGGAGGAATGACCGCTATGGAGAGAGAGAGAGAGAGAGAGAGAGAGAGAAACGAAGGGGTCAAGGTTATACTTATATAATTTCTTTTCTAATAATAATAAAACAAGGAAATAAATTAAAAATATATATTTAAGGGGTATATTTGTCATTTTATGTTGGGCGTGGACCATATCCACAAAAAATCTTATTTGGGGGGACTAAATCCACAAGAAATATTGTATTTTGGACCATTGGTGCAAGCTGAAAACTTTTTGGACCTTATCCACATATTTTTGTTAACCAACCAAATTTGCACTTTAGTTAAATGTATTTTAAAACTTAATAAATATGGCTAAAAATAAACGTTAAAAATAAAAGAATAATTAGGACAAATAATCAAAACGAAAGTCATAAAGATCATGATTACGAACTCGTGCATATGAAGAGCGCCTAAATATAACTTCTTATGAATAAATTATGATTGTTCGAAGTTTCAGTGCGATATAATATAACAGTGTCCGACACATAAATGGAAATGAAAATCGGTTGATTGTTATTCAAAACAATCTAAATAAGAATCGAAGTACTCGTAAATATAAATTCATGGATATAAAAACAGTCGTGTGGGCGGGGCCCGAATCTCCATGAGAGTGGGCGGCCCCCGCATCTCCTAGTTGTATGTTATATGTATGGTATGTGGTAGTTTGGGGGAGCTCACTAAACTTCGTGCTTAGAATTTTCAGTTTTGGTTTTAGGTACTTTAGCTAGCAAAGGGAGGGCTCGAGATGATTGCATGACACACACCACCGCTTCCAGTCTGGGATATTTACTCTGATATTTGATATAAGATTTGAAATGTTGACAGTTGTAATGACATTTTTGAGATACATGGTTTATGATTTTTATATGATGATGATATTTATGGTTTTATTAATGATTTTAAAAACGAATTTTTTGGACCGTATTTTTGGGATGTTACAAAGTTGTTATACATGCTTTATCTTCAGGTTGTGTAAAAGTGTTATCTACATGAAATAATGTTATTACTTAGTATTATGAACATTTATGTGTGATATGTTGTTTAAAAAAAATCTATGAAAAATGAGTATGAACATGCTATATGTTCTTAAGAAAAAATCACAAAAACAAAACTATAAAAACTAGGGTTTTTATGAACATAATATGACTTTTCTAGCAAAAATGGTTTTAACCAAATTATTACATCATTTTTGTGTGATATAAATCAAAATATGTTATTTTGGACATATATTATGAAACTAGTTACAAATACCAATGATTTGGTTTTACAAATAGAAAACCTAAAAACTACCATACTATGTAAAAATTTAGGTTTTCTAGCAAAAATGGTCATGACTAGGTTATATTATCATTTTTATGAGATTTGAACTAAAATATGTTGTATTGAACATATAAGGTTAGCTTGACTTAATGTCCTCAAAAAGGTAAAAATAAATTTTACAAAGTTTATAACTCAATATTTTACTGTTTGGTGACGTAAAAAGGCCAAAAACAAGAAAATTGACTTCATTATACTAAATGTTCATATACTTGTGTTTGATGTAAATTATATGTTATTTATGAATATCTAAACATGTTAGATTATATACATGTGAGTATATATAGACACAACAAAACATTTATAATAAACTATAATCGATATACTTTATGGGTTATTAACACTATTTTATCGTTTTGGGACAAGACGAATAATTACATAAAAGTATAATTGTTTTACACTATGTAATTACTATGGAAATGTGACATTTACACTTACATGGGTTTTCATTGCACTAAAGGTAAACTTGTTGAAACAATTAGTTGAGACAAAGTCTTCACCGTACCTACCAAAGTACGCACTAAAGTCCTGGATTATAACCAGAATCTCGGTAAGAGAGCGTGACACTTATGTATAGATCTATATAGGACTGAAAATCCCGCACCTCGCTCTCGCCGCTGACCAGAGAATTAGTCAGCGCTGTGGCCTCTCGCCCTAAATCACTAACTCTCCCCTACGAGGAGTGCGAACCCTCACTAGCTGTAGCTCACAATCAATCACTGCCCCCATTGACTTTGACCAGAGTTGACCCCTAAAAGGGTTATGTGTAGGAGTTTGAGGAGAGTTGATCCCAGAGCCTAGGACAATTCAGTTACTTTACGACATTATGGTGAGTTACCTTATAGTATAAGTGGGTCGAAGGTACCAATGTCGGCCCACTAGTAAGAGATATAGTAGATATGATTGTCTTTGTCATAATTATATGGTATGTTGCTATCTGTTATGCTTATGTGCTAGTATGATACGATGTTATGTGATAGTGGTAGGAGGGGTAGGATAGACCCCGATATCGGTCAATAGGGGCGAAGGGGTATGCCAACACCCGGATATGCTAGACAGTATATAAATTATATGTGTATGCACTAGGATGCCATGCGGTAGAAGTAAGAGGTGAAATAATCCCCGATGCCGGTCGAAAGGACCGAAGGGGTAGGCCAGCACCCAAATATGTTAGGCGAGGTACCGGTCAACAGGACCAAAGGGGTAGGCCAACACCCTGATATGCTAGACAAGTTACTAGTCAAAATGACTGAAGGGGTAGGCCAACACCCTGATATGCTAGGAAAGTTACCGGTTGAAAGAGAGCGAAGGGGTAGCTAGTACCCGGATATGTTAGATAGTATGTTTATTGTATGTTCTGTGGTATGATGGGGGAACTCACTAAGCTTTGTGGTTACAATATTCAGTTTTGGTTTTAAGTACTTCTTCCTCGAAGGGAAAGGAGCCGGCACGATAGCAGCACATCACACACACGATTTTCCACATATGAGATTATTGGGATTTATACTCTGGCATTGTTACTATCTTATGACATGCTTTTGAGACATATGATCTATGGTTTTTATAAAATGAAATAGCTTGATGATGTTTTCTATAAATTGTTTTATGAATCGTTATATCAAAAATGAAAATTTTGGTCTAGATTTTTGGGATGTTACAAGTAGCATTTGAAAAATTGAAACAGGTACCAGAGAAGCAAAGTGTAGCGTAACCTTGTAAATACAAATGTGAAATCGAAATGTGGTGAGCATACTATTGGGACAAATTTGTATTTATAATTGTAATACTTTGATTGTTTTGTATTTCATAGATTGTGTTTAAATGAACCTAGTGCTATATTAACCTTATAAATTCTAAAATTTTGTAATCTTCATATATAACAATAAGCAATATTATGGCCAAGGAGATCACAT